AACCAATTTCAAAAAATAACAGTAAGTGAACTGGTGTTCAACAAAAAAAAGAATAGATTCTTCTTCCATTTCTCCAGCTTCACTTGCTTTTGATTTTTTTAGAGTGTTTTTTGTTGACAGAGAACTGATCCTCAACAGCATTGTCTCGCGCTCTTATTGGCTTATTTTTTTAGACAAAAGAGTTGGTAAAAACCACTAGAACCCTTAGATATTTCCTTTTTAAATTGCAACAATAACACATTTTGAAGAGAAAAGAGATTTGAATTGAGATCTCTTGCCAATGTGGAAGTAAACATTTTAATATTAAACAATGTGAAATAGGTGTAGGAGGTAATGCTGCAAACTCTTATCTTAGCATTCACAAAAGTTTTGTAGAGAATCTCACCACATATGAAAAATGTCTAGCATATTGCGATTGTTCTCTAGGGTGCTGATCCTCAACATCATTGCCTCACTCTTATTGTTTTTTTATGTTAGACAAAGGAATTTTTGAAGAACCCCTCAGAACCCTGAGATATTTATTCTGAAGACTGCAACATTAAACCTTTTGAAGAGAAAATAGATTTGAAATGAAATCTTTTACTAACGTGGTTGTAAACATTTTAATATTTTTCTAATAATAAGAATAGTTACGGTTCAATAGGAAAAGTTAAAAATGATTTCATTTCTTACTTCTTTATCAGCAAATACCATTTCAATAGTGTCTCTGGTCTCTTTGCTATAATTCTTTCACAGACGACTAATCCTAACTTCAATATTCGATGTATCTGTTTGAACCATTGCCATTTGTTTATTTTTTTTGAATTATCAACATAGCTTTAATGTTTGTAGTGTAAGACCCTGGCCAACTTAATATATTCTCCAACTTCCACGTTTGAGAGTTATTAGCATAATATATTTATATGTCTTATGCTAAACTTCCAAAGATATGTATATTAAAATGGCGAAGGAGTTTGTGGGAATGCATTACTAAATTGCTATAATGTGGTTCGCAATAATTGCATATATGAACTATCACAAGTAATTTAGAACAAAAAGAATATTAAAATTTAAGGAATTAACTAATTAGGAATATTTAGAAAAATTAAATACAAATTAAATCACATTTGTATTCGAATATTTAATGTATAGTAGTAATATATACGAATTAAAATGTAAGAGTAAAACTGAATATCACCTAGATTAAAACTAATCATGAAACAGTTTAGAGAAAAATATTATAGCTATATTGCTATAATTAGGTTTACAATAATTGCTAAGGACTAATAACAATTCATGAATTAACTAATAATGAACATGTTGAAAAATGTACATTTAATGTAATATCATTTGTATAGACTTTTATACTATATAGTAGCAATAACGAATTAATGACCAAGTAATAAGGAATTTTACTTAGATTTGCATATATTTTTGTTATACGAAAATTATAATTTGATATTGGTTAATTAAATGTACAATTAATTAATATTTCCTAAGAAAATCATATCATATAGTTTGACTTTTGTAGTTATACAGATTTTTCAACTGTATTTAAAATTAAGTAAAAATAATTAATTACAATTCCAAAGCTTATCTAACCAGATTGATATACATATCTCGACCGTTAATCATTTTAAATAAATCAATATAACTTTATATCACAAATGTATATTAAAATTAAACCGATTTCAATTATAACCATTTAATTTAACAAGTATTCCATATCATTTTAATTAAACCGGTATAATTGAAAAAAAGCTTATAGGTGTATTGCAAAACCAACATATATAATAGAAAATATAATATTTTATAAAATTATTAGAAAATTTAAGTGAAGAAGGTTGTCTCTAAACCGGTTAGTGTGGTTTAATTGGTGTATCATGAGATAGGTGGTCTTCATAAGATGGAGTGATGTCCACTTAACCATTATTAGGATCACCTTTGCGAATATTAACTAAGATTCACCAATATATTTAATAGACTACACCAATATATATCTCCCCCAAAAATAAGTTTAATTAATTTAAAATAATAACTTCCTGAATATAATTATATGGAAAAAATAATCTACCATGATTTTCTTCAAATCTAAGAGGGTCTTATTAGATCAAAGATTTAAGAGGATTTCATTTTTTTATATTTTATATAAATCACATATTTAATTACCATAAATTACTGATAAAATTGGTTCTAGAAGTGATTTTCTTACTCATAAAATAAATAAAATAGAAAATTTATTAACGAATCAAATTATAATAGTTTTTCTAAAACCCAAAGACACCTAAAATATTAATTAAGTGAGTAAATATTAAAAGTACTAATTAAAACATTATTAATCTTTCTATAATTTCGAGAATTAGTTTCTATAAATTTTTATTTGTAATATTCTTTAGATTATATGGCAAGTGATGTTAAATGATTTTAGACTTACCTTAAATATTTAGATCTAAATTAAATAAATAAAAATTAAGAACAATCGACCAATCAAATTATAACAATTTCTTGAAACTTCACCTATGAGCGCACGTCACCAGAAATCACTAAAGTGACTTCTCATTTAATATATAGGAGGATTTGAAGAGTCCCTTCATGCACATAATAAAAAATCACTCATGTTATTTCTCAATCAATATATAGTAGGTTTTATCTTTTATAAATAATTTATAACATTTTATAACTTATTTTAAAATTCAGATAAATTTATTCTTTAAAAAACACTAAATAATTTTAAAATAATATTTAAATATGCTTGGATTTTGTAATATTTAAAATAGTTATTATATAATTATATTCAAATACAATTCATAAGTTAGAGTATAAAACTATTATAATTATCTTATATAAAATTTCCTTCATTATATTTTATAGTTTAAAATATTAAAAGTAATAAATAAAACATTATTAATCTTTCTATAATTTTGAGAATTAGTTTCCATAAATTGTTATTTGTAATATTCTTTAGATTATATGGCAAGTGATGTTAAATGATTTTAGACTTACCTTAAATATTTAGATCTAAATTAAATAAATAAAAATTAAGAACAATCGACCAATCAAATTATAATAATTTCTTGAAACTTCACCTATGAGCGACACGTCACCAGAAATCACTAAAGTGACTTCTCATTTAATATATAGGAGGATTTGAAGAGTCCCTTCATGCACGTAATAAAAAATCACTCATGTTATTTCTCAGTCAATATATATTAGGTTTTATCTTTTATAAATAATTTATAACGTTTTATAACTTATTTTAAAATTCAGACAAATTTATTCTTTAAAAAACACTAAATAATTCTAAAATAATATTAATAAATATGCTTGGATTTTGTAATATTTAAAATAGTTATTATATAATTATATTCAAATACAATTCATCAGTTAGAGTATATAACTATTATAATTATCTTATATAAAATTTCCTTCATTATATTTTATAGTTTATAAATATTAAAAGTAATAAATAAATCATTATTAATCTTTCTATAATTTCGAGAATTAGTTTCCATAAATTGTTATTTGTAATATTCTTTAGATTATATGGCAAGTGATGTTAAATGATTTTACACTTACCTTAAATATTTAGATCTAAATTAAATAAATAAAAATTAAGAACAATCAACCATTCAAATTATAACAACTATTTTAAATATTACAAAATCCAAGCATATTTATTAATATTATTTTAAAATTATTTAGCTTTTTAATGAATAAATTTATCTGAATTTTAAAATAAGTTATAAAATGTTATATATTATTTATAAAAGATAAAACCTACTATATATTGATTGAGAAATAACATGAGTGATTTTTTATTACGTGCATGAAGAGACTCTTCAAATCTTCCTATATATTAAATGAGAAGTCACTTTAGTGATTTCTGGTGACGTGTCGCTCATAGGTGAAGTATATTCAAATACAATTCATCAGTTAGAGTATAAAACTATTATAATTATATTATATAAAATTTCCTTCATTATATTTTATAGTTTATAAATATTAAAAGTAATAAATAAAACATTATTAATCTTTCTATAATTTTGAGAATTAGTTTCCATAAATTGTTATTTGTATTATTCTTTAGATTATATGGCAAGTGATGTTAAATTAGATCTAAACTAAATAAATAAAAATTAAGAACAATCGACCAATCAAATTATAACAATTTCTTGAAACTTCACCTCTGAGCGACACGTCACCAGAAATCACTAAAGTGACTTCTCATTTAATATATAGGAGGATTCCTTGTAAAGATATATCTTAATAATTTTCTTTTATTTTCTTCAACTATTATCTAAATTTGATTTGATTTTGTATGTTGTAAGGAATTATGAAATTAGATTATACCATGTAATTTATTTGGAAGAACAAAGAGAAAATAAGAAAAGTTGTACAAAACTGAATCGTTGGTCTTTTTGTTTGTTGTTAATTTCACATTTTTATATTTAGGAACACCTAGGATTATTTTAATAAATGATAGTTTTGACAATATGTTTTTTTTTTAAATTCATATAATATGAAACCAAATCAAATAATAATGTTATTTGGTATAAAACCGAATAAACCGAAAACCGGTAGTATAAATACCAAACCAAACCAAATTAAATATGATTCCAATATGGTAGCTAATTTTTATAAATCGAATAACCGAAAAAAACGAACCGAAACCGGACCGAACACTAAATTGAACAGACCTAAATCAAACTTATATGTGGTTTAGTGTATACATTGTAGAAGTTTGTAAAACGTTTCTATTTCTAACTTTTTAATTAAATCATGTTTCCATATTTCAAAACCGTTTTGCCATTCATATCACGTTTCTAAATTTCGAAACTGTTTTGAAATTCCATGCAACATAGATAACAACTATCAGTGTTACATCGGAAGAGATGTGGGTGGCTAGTCAAATTGATATGATCTAATCCTTTGACAATTGATTTACACATTAATTCATAGTGTTTCCATAAGGTCCATTATATTTTTGTTCGACGAGAAGAAAGTGGATGTATGCTCTATGTGTAGACTCTAAATTAGGTAACAGATCCACATAGCAAAACAGGCAATGTCCTGTTTATTGTTATTATTATTGGGCAAACAAAGGTAAAACACAAGGACTCCTGAAAGAATCGTCTCTTTTCTCAAGTTAAGGTGATGAGTGAAAAAAGACAAAAAAAAAAGTTTTAGTGATGTAACTAATAGTCCATGCCTCCCATTCCACCCATGCCAGCTCCAGCTGACTCGCTTTCATCTTTAGGAAGCTCGACCACCACAGCTTCAGTTGTAGTCAACAGAGATGACACACTAACAACAACAACAAGAAAAAAGTTCATTTTCAGACTCTGCTTAAATGAGAACTGAGTAGTGGCAGGCTTTAGCTTTTGATTTACCTCGCAGCATCAACAAGAGCCGTCCTGATCACTTTCAAAGGATCTATGATACCAGCTTTCACCATATCCACATATTCACCTAATTTTTTTTATTTTCTCCAGAGTTTATCCAAAGACAAAACTTTACATAGATTGAAAGTGAAGTCATAAGGGGTTGTTAACTTACCTTTAGCAGCATCATAACCGAGGTCTGTGTTATCTTGCTCCAAGAGCTTGCCAACTATAACAGCACCTTCGACTCCAGCGTTTGAAGCAATTGTGTGAACAGGAGTCTGGTCAACCAAAGTCCGTTAAACTTCTTCCTCTTAAGAACCATCAAATCAAATATGGTATTCTTTTTTTTTTTAATTTGATTACCTTCAAAGCGTTCTGAATGATCTGCACACCAATCTTCTGGTCAAAGTTGGCTGTTGGAAGCTTCTCCAACTCTCTCGCTGCGTATAGAAGAGCAACACCTCCTCCTGCAAGTGTTTTGATTTGATTCTTCAGCACATTTCAGCAAATTTTTTAGCTTTATGTGATAAAAGTGTTCCTCCCTGAAGAAGACATACCTGGCAAGATACCCTCTTCAACAGCTGCTTTAGTGGCATTCAAAGCATCTGTTACTCTGTCTTTCTTCTCACCAACTTCAGCTTCACTTGCTCCTCCAATCTATATACCCAACAAGCCCCAGAGTTCATACCAAGACACTCACAGACCAGGCTTCTATATTTAAAGGTTACTGAAACATTTTAACAGGGACTAACCTTCAAAACAGCAACTCCTCCAGAGAGCTTAGCCAACCTTTCTTGCAGTTTCTCCTTGTCATAATCTGACGTGCTCAGTTCAATCGCTGACCTAATCTGTTAGTTGCAATACCAAGCAATTAGAAGGATAAATAATTCACATCTTGCAAACACTTCATACACACACTAACTCTACCAAGTATCAACTAAGATTATCAGGCACAAAGCTAACAATTTACCTGCTCGCATCTTTCCTCAATGGCTGTTTTGTCGCCGGCCCCATCAAGAATAACAGTGTCGTCCTTGGAGACAGTAACCTACAAATAGCCAAATAAGAGTCAACACCATAGTCCTATCAATCTAGCTTCATACAAAGAGCTACCATCTATACATCATAAAGATTTCAAAGACTTTACCCTTTTGCATGTCCCTAGCATGCCCAAGTCCACCTTCTCTAAATTCATGCCGAGCTCATCCGTGATAACCTATATATCAAGCCAAGTAAATACTCTCTAATTTTCAGCCAATCATTTTGCATTATAGATTTCAAAAGACAGACACATAATGCAACTTTACCTCTCCACCAGTAAGGGCAGCAAGGTCTTGCAAATTGGCCTTCCTGTTCTCTCCAAACCCTGGGGCCTTGATGGCACAAACCTACAGAAAAATCACTACCTCATGTCAGCAGACAAACACTGATACAGTTAGAAGCTCTAGTTGTTCAAATTTCAAACCTTGATTCCGGCACGTAGTTTGTTAAGGATAAGAGTTGCAAGAGCTTCGCTTTCCACATCTTCAGAAACAATTAACAGCGGTCTTTGTCTCTATACGGTTTTTTTTTTTGGAGAACAAACAGATAAATCACATTAGATACATTTCTCACAACAGTTACACGAGAGGATGATTCCAAAACAACTAAGTGAAGATAAAGCATACATACCTTCATAGCCAACTCCAACACTTTTACTATAGAGTTGATGGAGGAGATCTTCTTTTCATGGATAAGAATGAGAGGCTCTTCCAGTTCCTACATAATAAATCACAACTCTGTAAACTTTAAAACTGATTGGAAGCATCAAGCAACTTGATTAAGTAGTGGGACTGTGGGAGTAAGCAACTTACACATTTTTGGGTTTTTTGATTGGTGATAAAGTAAGGGGATGTATAACCTCTATCCAACTTCATCCCTTCTACAACTTCCAACTCGTTAATCAATGTCTTTCCATCCTGCAAATCATTTTTATCAACATAAGTGCCTTGACCAATCTATCAGCAACATAAAGCAATCATTTCACCAGGAATCACTCACTTGGATTGTGATCACACCTTCTTTGCCAACCTTCTCCATAGCCTTTGCGATCAGTTCACCAATCTCCCTCTCTCCATTTGCAGAAATGGTCCCAACCTGAGCAATCTCTTCAGATGTACTAATCATCCTAGCCCTACTCTTAAGATTTGTCACCACAGCATCAACCGCCATAGAAATACCTCTCCTCAGGTCCATAGCGTTCATTCCTGCCGCAACTGATTTGCATCCTTCCGTGAATATCGCCCTGGTGAGCACAGTAGCACATGTAGTACCTGCAGAACAAATCAGAAAGAGTTCCAGTAACAGAGCTTCCACAACTGAATCAAAATCAAAGTGGGAAATCTTACCATCACCAGCAACATCATTAGTAGCATTAGCAACTTGCTTCACAAGACTAGCACCAACGTTCTTCACTTTATCCTTAAACTCAATGCTTTTGGCAACAGTGACACCATCTTTAGTCACTTTAGGAGCACCCCAACTTTGCTCAATCACAACATTACGTCCCTTAGGAACCACAGAGAGTCAGTCACATTATCGATTCAGACCAAAACTAGACAAGTATAGAAAAGTACCTACCTTGGGACCCATAGTGACTCTGACAGCATCAGCAAGCTCTTCAACACCTCTAAGCATCAAAGCACGAGCTTCAACCCCAAATTTAATCTCTTTCGCTGCGTAATTCCTGCTCCAGCTCATTCTACTGGAAACCTGAGCACGCAGAGACATTATTCATCAAGTTACTAATAAGACAAAAGACAAATCTCTCGTACAGACCAATGCAAAAAGTACCTGTCTTGTGTAACTTGCAATCCTGAAAAACAGAGAGAGAAGAAAAACCCATTAGAAAAAGCAAAAAAAATTAGAGAGCCGAGATGAAATTAAGCAAACCCATCAGAAATGTAAATCAATTAGACGAAGAAAGTGGTTTGTTACCTAGCCTTGGAGGCGAGATTGGAAACGAAACGGAACATAGTGGCTGAGAAGGAGGAAGAAGAAACTCAGGAAGGAAGAGAAAAGTGGAGCAAGTAAGCGAGATCGATGGAGAGAAGCGTGGAGGGACTTAATAGAGGAAGGAGAAGACTCTAGAAACAGCTGTTTACGGTTAATGCCCCTTTTAGGGTTTTTAGTCCTTTAGGGTTTAAACTTCTTTTTTTTCTTTTTTTTTTTTTGCTCAACATCAACATTCATTTCACCAAGTTTTTGGATACAAGATTGGACCACCAAAAACTTATACCACTTATACATTGAGGCAATCTAGTATGACCCTGGATCACTTGATTGGATCCAACGCTACCTGACCAAGACCTCAATGTATATTAAACCACAGTGAGCGTGAGATCACTCCACAACTCGGAATAATCCACCTCTTCAACCACCTAATTCTACCACATTGGTACAACAACGTTTACTAACACACGAGAGCTAAGAACATACTCGAAACTGATTATAACCTAGCTAAGCGATCCTAATGATTCACATTCAAAACTCATGACCCATTAGCCTCATCTATGAAGATGCATTCACGAGAAGGTCTCACCCTCATGGTCTTCATCCGTTGTGACCCTAAGCCTAAAACGGACAGTAAGTCCGACTGAAGATCGGGTTTCAGCAACACAGAACACGGGTCGTTCCTAGCTGAATCGAGCTTTCAAAGAAGCAGAGCTCATACCATCGGTTCAGACATTCAGCGCTGGGTATAAAGCCACCACCACGAACCTCTGCTAGAATAACATCCGCTTGACCCCTCCATCCGCGAAAACCATGATTCGTGTGATTTCCGATAAGCGGAAAAACATACCATGTCCACTCGCCGTCAAAACTTTCCTCCTCCAGCCAATCTGTCACTAAGGGACGTAGATCGATGATGGAGAAGACGCCTTTCGAAGCCACGCGCCGTTGCTGAGTCGGAGAAGTCGAAGATCTGAAAAGGGGGAAAAAACAGATCCCGACCTCCGTAAACCCTAAAAGCCGACTTCCTTCCTCGCCACTGTCTCATTAGCCTCGCCGCTACTCCAGATCTGGCCAGGACTTTCACAATCGTCACGAAACGCAACACTAGCTTCAGTCCCTGATCCAGAGCATCGCGCATATCGACCAAGATCCAGCGGAGCAGAAGAAAGCAAAAGTAAAAACAGAGAAAAGGAGAAGAAAGGGCGCCTCCGGCACCGGATAATCCGGGCCGGAGCTAGGGTTTTCTGGGAGTTGGTTAAGAGAGAGGCTGGAGCGCTTGGTTAAGAGAGAGAAACTTTTTTAAACTTCTTTTTTTTCTGTCAACAGAGTTTCACTTTATTTAACATTGTTACCTCCATTTTCCAATTTAATTTCTGGACTTTTGATATTATTTTGTTGTTAAGGGGGTGTTAGTGAGAGTTATATTTATATAGAGTTTGTTGATTTTAAAAGTTAATGGATTTGTTAAATTTGGAAAGAGTTGTAGAGAGTTTTGTATATTGTAAAAGTTTGTGAAAATAAATTGATATAATGATTCTAAGAATCTAAAGTATATAGGTAGTATTCTCAAAATCTTGTGTTATGAGTTAAATGATGAAGAATATAACTCCTAATAACACCAACTTTAATAGATTTAAAGAATCATTAAAATTTAAACTTTCTGAATAACAATGGATTGTGCATAGAGTTACTAAATCATCAAACTAATAACACTAAACTTTAATGAGAATCTAACAATCTATAAACCAATAACACTAGATTCTAAAATTCTGAGAATCATTATAAATTTTAGTCACACTAACACCCCCTAAGTGTACTTTTATGTAGTAATATAACAGAAAGACAAAATAATTATATAGCACTAATGTTCTGTGCACTGCAGGCTTACTAATTTAGAGGATGATTGGTTGGATTTTAACTAGTGACTTTAGCTTTATTTTCTATCTACACCATATAAATCACCAATCATATCACCAATCATGCTTTAAGTAGTTTTTAAAGCTAAAGTCAAAAAATTAAAAAAATGGTTGTACGAGCTTCATTTTCTAAAGCAAAAAAATACTGCTATAGGAATATATATTTTGTTTTTCTCATTTAATTTCTACAGCTACATTAGATACAACTACATCTAAAATTTCTACAGACTAATTTATACAGTAAAATTTCTACAGTTACAGTTCAACCAATCGCCCCCTTAGTAATAGATACATTTTTAATTCAAAATTATTAGAACAAATTGTTTCATGCTTCTGAAATATTTAATAATTAAATAAATATTATTTTATTAAGTAAAATAAATTGAAAAACATTCACATATACATGGTATTATAGACAAGGATATATATTTATTTTCAAAATATTATGATGTAAAATATTTTCGGATAACAAAATATAATCTTTTTAAATAATGATGATTATCAAATTAATGAAATTAATGAATTTTTTTAAAGTATGAGTAATTATATATTAAAAATCTAATTTAATTATTTATTAAGGGTAATTAAAAAATTTAATCGCTGTATTTTTAACGTGAGCATGAAAAAAATCACTTCACAAATAATAGTATAGATATTTTTTAATTGTTTAGCAGTATTTTCAGAAATTATCACAATGATTTATTTTGATTTATCTTAAGAAAGTTATCTTAAATGCTAGATGATTCATTCTATCTTATGTAATATATATTAAAATAGTGTTAGTTTAATATTACTAAGCCAAAATATAGACATATATGTAATATTATAATACTACTAAAGTAATATAGAAATTTAACTAAGATATTATTGTTTAGAGTTTTTAATTATTCTGAAGATAATAATAAATTATCAGATAATTCATTAAAATTATTTATTATGTTTAACTGAGCATGAAATATGACTAAACTTAAAATTATGGAGATAATTACTAATTAGCAAATTCACTTGCCAAATATTAATATAGATAATAGTTATGGTATTTTTTTCATCATCAAAAGATTATTCTATTACTCAAGTTTGAGGTGGTTTGGGAATCTAGACCGAAATAGAACAACCAACAGAAACCAACTGACGATAGTTACAAGTAACCCTAGCTAAACCATCTGCAGTCCGATTTTGTGTCCTTGGTACGTATGAGATCTTGAAGTCTGGAAGTCTTTCTTCAATAAAGTGAACTCTCCCAACTTTGTGGAGTAACTTGGCCAACCCTTCGAGTTTTTAATCATTGCCATGATATTCTTGCAGTCCGTCCCAAAATGTTGACAGTTGGAGTTCTGAATAATGCTCTCCATTGCCCAGATCAAGACCTCCAATTTTTTTGTTTTGTATTCCTAAGAGCTGCTCATTTCCTAACTCGTCCATGAAAACCCATCCATATCCACTGCGGTCTGCTTCAGCTGTCCAGGAACCATCCACTCAGCAAATGTTTTGCAAGCTTAGGGCTTGCATATCCTTGTGTGCCGTTTGATCTATTTCTGCAGTTTTTGTATTTGCTTTCAAACCAAGCATTGCATTCACTTTTTCCATATCTGACCAGTTCAAACAGATCTCTTAAGATGCCTCTGAAAAGTTTGTCATTTCGTGCTTTCCATAGAAGCCAAATAATCCATGGGTAAGGGTCCTTATCTAATACAAAATCTTCAGTCTCGTTCTTTCTCCAAAACATGTAATCCATGTTCGTGTATATGCTTGCGGTTGGGAAAGTTCCCGGACACGACGGTGTCAAGGCAAGGGCTCGTTTGCAAAGCCGATGCACATTCAAAAATAGCTTGGTTAGCTGATTCATCCGGCTCTCCACATCTAGAGTAATAATTTTCGCAACGCATATGAAGTCTTGTTAGGTGTCCCGTGATCACTATATATCCAGACACCAGCTGCCATATATGTTGAGGACCGTGTATTATTTTATTATAAATCATACTAAACTTTGATGTGTGCATCTTTGCAGACATTTATTTTTACGTTTTCTTGCAAACAAATATTTATCTTGTATAAATGGTAGTATTTCTAAAATTAATCTGTATTAAATATTTATTTAATATAACATTTATATAAAAATAATTTATAGTTTATATTAAATATTAAATATTATATTTTGTTTCTTTAACTTCAGTTGTGTCATCCACATTTTTAAAATATGCTATGAGCTTCACACAAGTATATTTTTAGTTTTGTATGGATCAAAATTTTAATAGATAATAAAGTTATTATATATATGTATTATATTATATGAATGACTATTTATATGTCTTTTACTTTTTAGTTATTACTAATAAATACTGAGAATATAATTAACAAGAAATTATTTTTATAATTTAAAAAGTTATAGTAACAGTTAATATCCAAATACTAAGAAATTTTACCTATCATTATCTAATTTATTTGCTACAGTAATGAATTTTCGTTTGATACTCCAACTTAAATAATCAAGATATATGATTTTTTCTAGTTTATCAAAGAAAAAAAATTCTTTATTTTTCTTGTTGTAGCATTAGAAATAAAGCTAAAACATAACTGAAAAAAATAAATAAGTTTATTGTAACCTTTAAACTCCAAAACTAAAGATAAATCATGATTGGTAAAATTTTATGATTTTAAAATAAAAAGTTAAAGAAGTAAGCTAAAGACATATGATGATGTAACCAACGCCAGCCTCCATGTAAAAGGTAAGAAAACAAGGCACGGATTAGGTAGGCAACTGATTCTAATTTGGCTTAATGGACTGTAATCGGTATGATTCATGAAGTATTGGATCATGAGAAGCATACGGGGTGTGTATAGGCTTTAAATGAGAGCTTTGTCTTGTGTTTGGGTCAGAAGAATTACTAAATAAGATAGAGAGAAACCAAGACAACATCAGCAACAACACAAAACAACCATGGGCTAACCGAAATGAGCCTATCGACATAGCTATTCGGTCCACTTCTCATACGTCCGACCAAGCTGCAAAGTTACATGTCTTGACAATATGCAGAAAAAAAATTATGCTGAAAATAAATAATTTTTTTAAAAAAAATTAAGGTTTAAAATATCTTAAACAGAAA